GTCTCCCTCAGATAAACTGCCTTCAATCATGCCAGCAATGATCTGATTGTATCTTTCGCTGCTCATGTGTTGATTAAAATCATGTTTTTTGACCAGCTGTTGAAGTTTTACAGTTTTAATTTAGCTTTGATAGTAGTGAAATACCTGAAATACAGATACTTGGTGTTTTATGTCTGTACTATGCCTACTGAAAAAAACAGCTGGATAATTGCATCAATTTGCACAAAGCATAAATATTCAAATAGGTGCACTTAATTTTGTTTAATAAACTACAGAACATTACTGTTGTGTTTTTTGAAAAAGTAAAGCTGTTGCAAAAACAAATTAAATTAAAGGACAAACATAAAACACAAAGCATTCTTTGTACATTTTCTTTCTAATTCACACACTTCAATTCTAGACCCACAGAAAGAGTTATACACTTACATAACTCCCAGTGTGATTGCGAAACTCAAGTCCAAAGTACTCTTTCTCCAGCAACTTCAGGTGACCACAGACCTTGTTGTAAAAGTCATTTCCCAAAATTCTTTGCTAGAATCAAATGAAAAAAAGTTTTGCTTACAGATAGTGAAAGGGAGATTTAAAACACAGATATGCCAAACATTCAGTTCTGAAAATATACAAACAACAACAACAAACCATTTGTATTGTTAGCATGTTAACAATTGTGGAACCACAGGATATGTGCTGTTTTGGGTTGTATCCTCAGTTGTGTGTCGTCTGCACACAAGAGGGAGTATTACCCTAAACATGTGACCTACACCTCAGTCTGTGGCCACATTACTCCACAAACAATGGCTTACAATTTCAGCTTCCAAAATGTGTGTGTCTGCAGTGCAACATCTGGGGAGATTCGCATGTTTTATGTCAAATTTATTACCCAAAGGCATTTTAGGAACACAGGACTGTAGCTGTTATAAAGGCTGTGTTTCTTTTTTTTAATGGAGTTTATTTAACTAAAGTTCAGGAGGGATGACAACAACCACGCTCAATCATCCCCAGCTGTCAGCAATCACTCCCTTCGTCCTTCCTCCGCCGAACACTATCAATACCAAATGCGATATCTCCCTCTCCCTCGCGTGTGACTTTTGCTTCCCACCTCCACCCCAACTCCACCTCTGCAGCTGCCGAAGTTGGCCCTCAGCCAAGCAGGTTAAGCCAAATATTCGCTCCACAATAGTTCGCCATTTTTTTATTTTGGGGCGTTGTCATTCCTCGTGAACCTGTTTAAGATCGTGATCCTTTTCTAAAGGAGCTGAACGTCACAACTTGGATACTGTCAAGTGAGAAATAAAGAAAGCAAAGAGCCTCTGTGACATTGATCATTCAGTCACATGCTTCCCTTGAAACCATGAGCCTTAGCAGGATCAACAGCAAAAGTAAGGCATCAGTCAGAAGCCTGCTGCAGCTCTCACTGGGACCAGTTCAAGCTCACAGGAGCCTGACAACTGTAAGGGTCATGGATGTTATGTATAAACAGAGGAATCCTGAGTCTGAGAAGCATGTTACCAATGATTCAATGTTCCTTGGGAAATCCAAGTCTAGTCCATTAATAGCACAGATCAGACTGCAATCAGTTATAGATATAACTATAAATTCTATTCCTTTTGAGGTATGTCTGTTCCCACTGAAATTCCATCCTCATAATAAGAAGCAAGTGCCCACTGGCATCCTCAAGAACCTTAAGAGTACAATGGGTATGGGAGGTTCTTCTCTTAGTGATACCTGCATGTGACACTCCACACACGTTTTCTACCACCTTCTTCGTTCAGCCTAAATATTCAGCGCATCTCAATACACATTTTTTCTTTCTGTATTGAGATGTATTGAGAGTGCTGAACTGTTAAAATAGCATGATCATGCATGATGACCTAGAATGCATCTGAAAAAAACTGTTCTACAGTAGCTCTGTAAATAAGTCTATAGCATTTTAAACCTGTAATAGTTAAATATCTCTATATTAGAATATTACATAAAAATAATGCTCAACCCCCCATTCAGCAGGTACCACCTAACAAAACAGAAAGCTCCACAATACACTTATCCAGGCGGACAAGTCAAAGGCACTGTACAAACTGGGCTACAGTGTATGTACTGTAACAAATTTCAAATACTTCATTGATTTTTATTTTAAAAAAACGTTTTGCTTACATTATTTATAGGGAAAAGAAACTCACTTGACGTCTTCCTCCAGAGTAGGAGAAAACAGTATGGTTACTTAGTTAAATTACATTATGTAGAGCTCTACTGTATCAATTATATTAGAGCCACAAATCAGTTTAATAGTATTGAGCTCGTAGCTCCTATTAAACTGAATAATTGATTCAAATGCCAACCCCAGATGCTACAAGCCTCAAGCAACCAATTATTTTTTATTGTTACATTTCTAGGTTACTACACATCACATTATTCACAGGGATATTTATCAATTACATTAATCAAGAGCAAGCCCTAATATTTTAAATAAGCATACATTGTGTTCCACTGCAGATAACAGAAAACTTCTGAGATTGTTTTAATTAGAGAATAACAATCTATCGTGGCTCACGGGATCTGCTGCGAAGCAAAAAGGAGGACTCATGTCTCACACAGCTGTTTTCCCAGCTCACCTCAGAACCCATCCATTCATATTCCAACTGCTTTCCAACTCAGGGTTGTGGGGGAGCTGGAATCCCTTGGACTGGACAACAGCCCATTGCAGGGCACACACACAGACACTCTCAAAAGGGCTAGTTTATCCCAGAAGCAAATTCACCTGCCAGCATGTCTTTGGATTGTGGAAGGAAACAGGAGAACCCCCGAGGAAACCCAGTTAAACATGGGGAGAACATCCAGACTCCACTCCAGACAGTAGGAACTGGACCCAGTGTTCCAGCACTGTTGGGCAGGAATGCTAACCACTGCACTACCATGCCACCCACCTCAGAACCCATGTTTTATTAGTCTCAGACTAGTGCCCGTCTTTGTCTGCAAAGCTATTACATAATATACAGTACAATAATAACCAATTCAGTAGTTTGGTCAAATTCTAATGCCTAAAAAAACGATGAATATGAAGGGACAGCTTACTTTATACTTTGGCTTTAACTCACTGTCACAATCGCAAACCCCTCCTCTTAAGGGTGCTCCAGCCCTTCCTTGTTTGTTGTTCATCTCCCGCACCTGCTCCCTCTTCCAGACCCTTTTCAGTTCCCCCTTAAAAAGCCAGACGTTGAAGCCAATCCACGCTCTGCATTGGTTTCCGCATCATACGAGCCTGGGACTTGGATGCGCCTGGCTCCGTTTTGCTTTTAGTTTCTGTTTCTTGTTCCCGTTCCCGTGCCCCCTGCCGGTTCCGACCCCGTTCCCGTTTTTAGATCGTCTGTCTTGGATGGATAGCCTTGCTTTGGACTTTTGCCCTGTTTTCGGATTTCCCGTTCGTCTCATCCCTGGATCGTTTGCCTTGGCCACACCTCCCCCGACCACCAGCACTCCATGGACACGCCCCCCTGTATTCATTCCTGTATCGTGCATGACGTTTTCCCCACTCTACCCCGGATCGTGTCGTCTGCATAGGGTCCGTAAAGAACTGTTCGTTAAACTCACCTGGGGAAATGACAGCTCTGGTCAGAGCTGAGCGCTGTAACATCCTCCTTTCACTTATGAAGGATAAGCCACGGGGAAAAATGCTGCAACTTTGAAGTTGGGGTGGAGGGGGGGGGGGGTTAATAAGCTCTATGCTCAGCCAGAGAGTTTATAAGCATAGGCATGCGCAACTGCGAGATTAGAATTTGACCTTCGCCTGAACATCTGTTTATCTCAACACCATTACCTAATGAACAAGTCTCCCTAAAAAATAGCTGTAGCCACTAACAAAGGAATTTCTAATAAAAGAGAAGCTGATAATACTAGTAAAAGTAAACACACAAGTGCCATTTGGCAGTGCAATATAAAATCTCCATGTTGCTTGACATTTTAGAGCCCAGTGCTTGGAGAGAGAGTCAAAGAAGGGAAATAACTTGGACCTTTTATTATTAAAAAGGTAAGCCTTTTGGAGGTGCTGTTACTCTATCAGGATTTGGAGAAATTGATTAATGACACTTTCTTTTATAAATGCATTTACTGGTGGTTATCTGATAATATTTTGCATTATACCATTTGTTGCGTGTGTATAGCTTTACAAAAAAAGGACACTGGGTTAAAGGTCAAAATTAAAGGAATTCTCTTAGGACAGAGAATAGGAGACACTTCTTTGCATAAAGAATTGTGGGGGTCTGGAATAGACATCCCAGCTGGGCTGTTCTTTTAAGAATTAGCAGGACAAATGTATTATTCCTTTAGCTACTGAACTGCCACTTGACCCAAATCAGCTGTATGCTCATTTGCTGCCTTTCTTACAGTATGTGCATTCTAATCAGGTGAGGCCTTGTCTTGGTGATCTTATATTAAAAGAGTGGCAACTGCAGTCTGTGAATCCAGCTGTATATTTCCATCAAGGCTTGAACAAAATGTCTGATCTAACAACTGAATAAGCTAACAATTAAAATGAACTGTATTTCCTTGAGGGCCACTAACTAGATACAGCAGGATAATGAAAGGCTGAGCAAGAGACAAGTGAATCAGTAACGTCGAACAGCACATATGTAATTAAAGGTAATTACTTATGTTTAAGCATAAATAGTGGGGATACCCTGCATCTGGAAGCTGCTGTATTTGTCAAAAGCATAATACAAGAATTAGATCATAAGATCCAAAATAAGTTTATATTTTACAAGCTACGCATATATTATTTTTAGTTCTATAGGATATGATTTTCTCTTACTTATATTCCACATTTTCCATGACAAGCAACAAGTCAGCATGTGACATCAATTTGATTTAAGCATCAGCAGACACAATAAGAGGTCAATTCATGTTTCCTTTTTGCCCCACAGGAAAATTGGCAGACTGTCCGCAACTTCTCAGTTGTACACAATAATCTTGGGGAAAGTGAATTGTCAGAAACAGCATTTTACAGGAAAAACAACTGTTCTTTTCCTTTGTAATAAAGAGCTGGGGGAAGCTCATTGACACTACACAAGTTCTAGTAAGGCAAAATGTTTTTCACTCCCGGATTTACTGAACACCTGCTGTATCTTCTCTATACTGACTGCATTCTAAATGAGTTAATTTGCACTAGCTGGCACACTGTAAAACAGATGGAACAAGAAGTGAAAACATTAATAAATGGTTTAATTTAATCTACGGCTGAAAGGCCAAAACGACATCAGACATCAGAGGCAACTCACTTCTAGAGCGAAAAACAAAAGTTTTTACTCGCAAGTAAAAATGTGGATGCCACAGTTGATGAAACTCATTAGAATTTTTTTTGCTGTATACTTTAGTTCATGAAAAATGAGTACAAATTGATTTATTGATTAATAATATTTCATAGGGAAAAGCCTTTCATTCTTTACTTTCATTTGCACGCCATAACAATCTAGTCTGTTTCTGACTAACATGAGATTAATGTGCTTAATACATTTGTGCAGCTTGACTCATCTAATTATTACTGGGCTCAGAGATGCAGAGGAGTTGGTTTTGCACAAAGCTGTGTTTAAGTCTCTGAAGGGGGTTGACTACAGAGCTCTGTTTGTGATAAGCCCACAGTTTACTATGTTGGAAGTAACAGGAAAAAAAAGGATGCTATTGAGAAGCTCTAATGAACCGCTTGACTCTCCATTATCATGTCACATCAGAGTGCTAAATTGGTCTAAAAGAAAGGCAATTACTTATCTCCCAACTCTCCTGAAGTTGTTTGTGTAATCCAGTTGAAATGTTAACACATAACTAACTTATGGATTGCTGTTACTGAAGGGATATATTGTATACTGTAGTATACTATACTGCAATGTTCCATTAATCATGGAATATGATCACATACTAGGCCATTCCTCCTTCGACTGGATGGGTTACTCCTGCAGCACATACTGTTCTAGAATATTGTGGAAGGATGATAACTTTAAAGTTCTTTTAAAGTAAACCTGGATCCAGTCCAGAGAAGAGCAATAAAATACATTCCATATATTAATAATATACTGCACTGACAGGCTGAAGGAACAGAACCTTTTCAGTCTTGTACCTCAACCTACTATATAGTATTCACAATCCTCTGGCACTGATGAAGTCGACCAGCAGATTTCTTCAGAATGAACAGGGAAACGAACCAGGGGACACAGGTGGAAACAATGTTGATGTGCATTTAAAACCGAGAACAGGAGACACAAATTTACGCAAAAGGTTGTTGGTGTATGGAGCAAGCTTCCCAGGTATGTTGGTGAACCCAATATCTCAGCTTCTTTCAAGAATACAGATGGAAGACGCCCTTGGATCAATTATCAGCTACCAAAATGGACAAGATGGGCTGAACGGCCTCTGCTCATTTATAATGTGAGGAGGATGTGCACCCAGTCGCTAAGGGTATCGTAGCGCAGGCTGGGAGTTGTAGCCGGGGGGAGTCCGGGGGTCCGTAAGATGACCAGCAACTGACCCTGCTCATGTACAGTAAATAGACCTGTGTTAGATAAAGTGTTCTCTGAAGCTTAGTGTCCCATAAGATACTGTAAGTGTGTAGAGTCTGTTAAAGAGTTACCACCCTAAACCTGTGTACTGTACCTGTTCTGTCTGTCCCCTAATGTGTGTGTAAATCCTAGTGTTGTTTTTTTTTTTGTCAAAGAGAATAAAAGCAGGTGCTTGTGTGCCTACACCATCTCCTCTTGTCCTTTATCCTGAACGAACCCATAGTCGTTACAATAATGTTTCTTATGTAATTTAAAAGACAAAGTATGGTTATAGATACCAATTACATCTGCAATTCAAAGAATGGAATAGAAAGATAGTTGATTGAATAGGCAAAATAACAAAAAATGTTGCTTCAACCATACTGAAGCCAGAAGGATATTGAAAAAATAAAATCAGATGTAATTCTGGTATGTTGAATAGACTTGAACAGACAACCATATGGTTGGTATAATTTTTTTTAAAAGATTCTCATATTTTTAAACTTATTTTAACCGCATTGAAGCTCAGAGTGAATTCCTTTTACACAGTTTCTTTAATATGTTAGAAACAGGAATATTACAGTTAAAAGCTAAATGGAATTCACTATAAGTTAAACATACATCCATCTTTTGATAACTGTGATGCTGTTTCAGTTATTTTTACTTGTCAAGCATAGAAGAATTAAAGCTAAAGCAAAAAAAAAATTACAAATTAAGCACATTAGGAAATAATACATACACAGAGCTTGCAAATCTTTCGTGCATGCTGAAACAATTTGCCTAGACTGAGGTTTAACTTAAAGAACGTTTGAAACTTTGATCAGTGACTCACTGGAGTCATTTACATCCTTCAGCTGTAAGACAGGAGGCCATATGCTATCTCCTAACATTTGGAAATAAAACAAGTCTTCCTGCACATGGTCAATGGTCAGTGTTTAATGGTTCATAGAAAAGAAGTAGAAACCCAGTCGTAGGAATTCTCAGCTATGCGAACAGAAATAGTATGTCAGATGCCCACAGCAAAAAGGTCTTCAAATGGGCCAGCTGGAAAGGCAAAGAAAACATTCAGAGATTTCACTGCCACCATTTCTGCCCTAAAGCCACTCTCACGCTGTGCACTCACATTTCTTTTTTAGAAGAATCTCAGCAGCCCTTCTATTCACATATTGTCTCTCTACATATGGAGATGCAGAAAATGCCTTTGAGCTTCCAGTTGCAAATGCAGCAGGGACTAATGGGGTCTATAATGGGAATACTTTGCAAGCATAACATCTGGCAAAGATAAATGCACTCCCATCAACAGCCAACCATCCCCCAGCTTGTATCTTTTCAGAGATACAGAGATCGCAATTTCAAATTCTGGTTTCTTAAATACTGTCATGATGTCACCGCCCTCCAAAACTCTGCGAAACCAAACGTATTTGAGCTTAATATCAGTGTGAAATACAATGACCCAGAACTCTCTCACACAGATTATCTTACATGCAAATATACTAGTAGAGGCTGTTTCAGTGAATAAAGTACTAAATATCAAAGGCTAGATAAAAGGAATGATCTGTAAATTTGGGATGTACTGACATATGGATGTTTACCACAAATCCTACAGTAGGACCGTAAAAGCTAGGACCCGTAAAACTAAAGAGACCTATTTTATTAAATCGCAAAGACTCAATTTGTCTTTCAGCAAACTAGATAAAGTAGTTGATTGACTAGAAATCATAACAAAATTTTGTTGATGAGTATCCAATCCCCTATTCAGATAAGTAATTTAACAAACAATATTTCTTTCACCTGGAAAAGAGACCAACGCAATACTGAGTTTCAGAAAGATGAACATGGTGGCTGTGCAAATACTAATTCAATTACTATCTTTCAATAATTCAGACACACTCCACCACACCTCAGCAAATGATCGGAATTTTGTTTCTGAATGATAAAGTACACCAAGTAGATTTAGTAAGAGCATTCTTGGCTGAGCAGATTAAAGTTATTTTGAGCAGAATTTGTTCACATGATGATATTCAGAGAGGCTGACTTTGGAAAACTAGTGACAACAAATAAGCCCATTTTTTAAGAGCTGTTAATTTACCAGATATTTTGACCATAACGTCTCTGCTTTTTGGAGTTCTTGGGGGATCCTCCCACCTACTGTACATTCTCAATTAATGAATCAGCGAACAGTAATTGTGTGTCTCTTAATAAAATGGTGATACTGTAATATAGCTACAGCCTCAGTTAAGAGTGCCCAGCTTGAACACAAAAACATATAACACAGATGGTCTGCAGAATCCAGATTAAAGCCTTTATTAATCAAGACATACTTATTGTAGTCTGTTATCCCAATGAGAGTTCACATACACTTCCACATCTTGAATTGAGGCATAAATGATAACAATTAGCTATTACCAAACACTGAGAGGGTGGACTATAGGATACCTGCTACTACTGATTCTCTGGCTACAAGAGTTCAAATGACTAACTCCTCCAACAAATGAACAAGGATGCTCTGTACCATGCTGAGGGTGCTTTCTTAGTGAATCAGAGCCACAGCATGATGCTCCTGCTGACAGGCCTTTCATCTTAATTACTGGAGCATCTAGAAAGAAAAGAGCTTACCTACATTGTAGCAAATGTCTTGTTATGGCTTAAGACATATACAGTAGTTACTAATAGTGCACCTCTGCATCTTTCTGTTAAGGAAATGATTTTGGGGGCAAAAATGTTGGGATGTACTGTAAGTGGCTTAGACTTTTTTATTTAAGATATAGCAGTAAAACTAAATGTACAGTACTTATGCTCAAATTCATTTCTATTTCAATTATGTGGACAATTGTGCTCAAAGCAACATGAAATATATTCAGTGAAACAGTTTTAATATTCAGACAAACTTTGACATGTTTGTTTAATCTTGGAAAGAAATGATGATATTGAGTTCATGACATTACAGACACTTTCATTATTCTACACATGATTTATTTTTGGTGAGATGAGAGTCACATGAGAGTCAAATGTGTCCTACAAATTCTTAGCAAACAAAAAATACTGAATTGATATACTTCTCCAGAATCACACTGAACTAAGTCTTACCTCAACTTCGAATATCTGCTCAGTATCATCCAGAAACTGCACTTTGAGCTGTAGGGTTGTTTCCTTGGAGCTCTTACGGGCCACTCCAGCAAGCTTTTCTGGGGACTTGAAGAAGTCTGGCCTGCATTTGTGTTCACCCATAACTAGTACCGCAGCTGGCTCAAGTGTACTGAAAAAAAAAACCCATAAACTCATGCTAGTTGTTTACCAGCACAGGTTAACATTGGTGTGAAAATAAAATAAAAAAAACAAATAAGCAACTGCAAAGGAGATTTTGGATCTGACCCTCCCAGTAAGCACAAATGAGGCAAAGTAATGGTGCTGTCTAGAAGAAGCAACACATCAAAGCCATTAAACCCAACTAAAAGTCAGTTGTTAAATGAACTATAACCTCATGCCACTTAAGGAAACCTTTTTGGCCATGTGTGGTTGGTGATTCAGTACAGAACGTTTCACTGAATCGCCTGTCAACTCTAACAATATACTGTAGCATGGTCTGTTTTTTTTCCGGCTTCAACTTAAAATTTGGGCCATTTCTTGGACATACTGTAGTGATCTGAGGAGAAAAGGCAGCTTTTGTTCATTTATACCATTGGTCAAATGTGAAATATGTTCATATTTAGCAACATTTTAGAATAGGAGACCAGTATAATGCATGTGTTAGTTGTGAATGAATGGCATACCTACTAAAAGCACTTAACACATGATGAACAGTTGCTGTATAACAGCTGATTTAGTTCTTCTTGCGTTCCATCAGTCATAACGAATACATACTGTATTTCTTATGCAATGTACTTGACATTTACAGTGCTGGCACTCGGTAAGCTTTGTTTCAGTAATACGTGGTAAGAGAGGACTTCTATCTTAAAGCGTTGCACAGCGTTGTTTATGGAAGACTGGAAAACTCACATTCAACGGCAAGAGAGAAGACCTGAGCCCAGTTAAAGTTGTGTACTGTCTTTGAGTCCTGCACAAAAACGAGAAGCGCTCCCATTTCTTCGGCCTCTTGATTCCAGATTATATCGGACTGCTCTGTAATCCTGTCTGATTTCATTCACATACAGCAACTGCTCTAGCAAGACAGAGAACCGCTGCAGCAAAAAACACCCCATATCCTCACACTGCTGTGCGTGTTCAAAATATGGGAGACCTGGGGCTAACGGCAGGTGCTTTATTGGAGAAAAATAAATGAGCACGGGATTTGAGTTTCACAAATGCTTTTAGTATTTCAAATACCGAAATAAATCTAAGTATTCGTGTAAATTAAATTAATTTTAGACCAAATTGGCATTAGATATGTATATCGATGTATAAGCATATGGAAATATCTATGTGAGTAATAGAAGATCACATTAAATATAAATTTAATGTTAATGCCCGCTTTATGTACTTGTAGGGAAGACGAGAGCAGAACATTACCCAAAGGCATGTTATAAAAGTATAAAGCTTTGTGGTAGGCATAAACAAAGCTTCGATTATCTTACCTGTAATTTCCCTTGGTTTTAATTATTTAATATCACTAATAACTAATTCATGTATTAATAACGAAAACGATGTAAATAATATTTTCAACCTCGAATGCAACACGTTAATTAGGATTCATAAATGCCTTGAAAAAAAAACTCGAAAACATTCAGCTAATTTTACATTCAATAGGGCAGATCTTAAAAAGATAGTTCGTTGTACGGAATTTGGGGTCCAATAAAAAAAAAGATTAAAATAGTTTAAAAATCAAAGCAGTTTAATTTGATCTTGAAACATAAAACAGTCCTGCTACTGTAGGGGATATTAACATTGCACGCAAGAAAGAAGCAGTTGTCCATTTAATTCCGTTATGAAAAATAACGTCTCTATTTCCTGAACATAGCTTTCTTCTAAGGGCAGCTATGGAAGTTACTATTTCTTTTTTTTCCTCCGGTCACCCAAAAGGCTGGCGTTATGAAGCTTCGTCCACTTAGAGTCTTTAATTAAGTTAATTGAATCATCGCTCAAGAAAACGAATTGGGAAATTAACTCATGCATACGTTAACGTTCTACAGTATTGCATTTACCTGAATTCCTTGGGTTTCCAGTCGTCATAATCCCCAAAATGCACAAAATAAATCCATAGCCGTTTCAAAGCAGCCCAGTTCAATCATTGACAAGCTATTAAGTAAAGCGCACGGTAGGCAGGCTGTGCTCGGGATAATTGACTATACAACAGAGCCACCTGACTGTGAACACGCTTTCATCTCATTGCTTTTTTCTTGCTTAACTCGGAAATACAGCTCACACACACGGTCTACTCCAGGGTAGGAGTTTGACAGCTGAAAAATACCAGTTTCACACATGAAACGTCTTTATGTGCAGAGATTTCAACGTCACGCACTCTACAGGTCTCAATCTGTTCGTGCTTAAATTATGCACGTCGTCTATTGCTTTCCACAATGTAACGGGTTTGAAACAGAACAGCTTAACAGTTACATTTTTTTAAAATAAAAAAATACGGTACATATCCATTATTAACCGAGCTGTTGTCAAACCGCTTTTGCACTTCTGTTTGTCACTCATCGTACACAATGAAGTACTTCTGCTGCGGGACCGCATGTGTTTGATATTAAAATAAAAGAGGCTTTCTTCGCTTTTTTAGCACGTTAGACGATATGAAATATAGTGGGTGGCTGGAGAAATGTATCTACACCAAAAGTTGAGTTTTATTTTGTTGAACAGCAATTACAGCGGGAACACTTATTGTTTTGCCTCTTTAAAGATCTTGGGTTCCGAGTTCGGTTCCAGCCTTGGTTACCTACTTTGTGGAATTTGGATAGTCTCCCCACGTCAATGTGTGGGGTTTCCTGTGGTACCTTGAATTCCTTCCACAGTTCAAAGCCATGTAGTCTAGATAAACCGTCATCTTTAAATTTACTCCCTTGGTACTAGTAAAGAACTTGCACTGCACCAATGTTTGTCTTCTATATCTTTTTCTTCAGCAGTCTTGTGTACCTATGTGCAATTACAGCTTCATTACAGTAAACTAAACACACACATGAGTGATAAGGAGGCAAAAACATACTGTAACACCACTTTCTAACTTGAATACTCCTAATAATAATAATAATAAAAAAAAACTTTATTTTATATAGCGCCTTTAAAGGTGGCTTCTCAAAGCGCTTTACAGGATGACAATAACAATAAATAAGAAGACTACAACAATAAATAAGAAAATTTCACAAGACAGGACACAATTATAATTACAACAATACAACAATAACAATAGAGGAGACCGTGGAAGATGGTATTAAGAAGAGCAGAGGGGTGAAGAATGGAACCAGTTAAGTAAAGGCTTTTCTGAAAAGGAGGGTTTTGAGTCTGGATTTGAAGGAGTTTAGAGAAGGTGACTCTCTAATATCCTTGGGCAAGGAGTTCCAGAGCTTGGGGGCATAGCAGGAGAAGGCCCTGTCGCCCATACAATGTAGACGGGCTTGGGGGACAGTAAGGAGGGCAGAATTTGAAGAGCGGAGGTTGCGAGGTGGGGAGTAGGGCGATAAAAGTTCAGACAGGTATTGAGGTGCCAAGCCATGTAAAGCCTTGTAGGTGAGCATGAGGATTTTAAAGTCTACGCGGAATTTGACCGGAAGCCAGTGCAAGGACTCCAGGATAGGATATCCTAATGACTTCCTAATTTCCCCAATTCCCACAGGCTGCCATGGGCAAATAGCCAAAGAGCTCCCACCTGAGCATGCATTGCTGCCACTGCAACAGTGAGCCCAGCCCAGCTCTGACATGATCATCCTGTTCGTAGATATTAGATACCTTACTGGTATACAATGATACACCAGAGTAAGATGCAGTAAAGAATTCAATCCTGGCAAGGTGTGGTAATGCATAAAGAACTACTGATGCAAACCTTGGGGGGAAAAAAAAGTGGAAGTTGTATTGATAATGTGGTCCATGCTAATTTGTTGCTTTGTTTTCCCCATAATGGAGTGACATTCAAAGGTAGTGGTCAGGTGTCAGTAATCAAAAACAAATGTGTAGCACACCCACAGCAAGAATCTGAGCCATAGTGACAGATCACCAGTTAGATGAAGCTCTCTTCAGTTTTCTGCACTGTGATCATACACAGCACTGCTTTCCAGAGCAAAGGCCTGCTCAAATGGTTCAAAACAGCAGGCACTCCAGCAGCATAATAATAATTCCTTACACTTACTATATATATATATAAAAAACATGCTTCTGGACACTCCAATCAAAGTGCTTTACAGGTAATGGGGACTTTCCTCCACCACCAATGTGCAGCCCCACCAGGATAATGGGATGGCAGCCATAGTGCATCAGAACACTCCCCACCCATCAGGTATCAGTGGGGATGAAGCTAATTCATAGATGGGGATTATCAGGAGGCCATAATTGGTCAAGGCCAATGGGATATTTGGCCAGGATGCTGGGGTGACACCCCTACGTTTTTTGAGAAATGCCCTAGGATTTTTAATGACCACAGAGAGTCAGGACCTCAGTTTAATGTCTCATCCAAAGGATGGCACACTTTTACAGTAGTGTCACCTTCACTGTACTGGGGCATTAAAACCAACAGGAACCACAGAGTGGGCACACCCTGCTGGCCCCGCTAACACCTCTTCCAGCAGCAACCTTAGTTTTTCCAAGGAGGTCTCCCATCCAGGAACTGACCAGGCTCACACTTGCTTAGCTGCCAGTTGTGAGTTTCAGGGTAACATGGCTGCTGGCCACAAGCCTTCTGTCACTGTGCAGACACACATGAAGAATATACAAACTCCACACAGATAGCACCCCAGGTCTGGAATTAAACCCAAGTCCCCAGCACTAAACACTGTGCCACCATTGCCATTAAAAGCCATCATTTAAAATGGGAAAGGAAACATGACTACAGGTTAATGGATCCATCATAAGTTTATCATATTAGATCCATTAACTAAGCAAAATCAACCACTGCCCATAGTTGCAGGATCCCCAGATCCAGACTGAAAATTCTAACACTGCAATCTCAAGAGCCACCAAGCTATGGCTAATAGTTTTGATTCTAGCTAAATTAATCTTGCAGCTATAGAATATCTTGCCAGCAAAGGCAATAGAAATGTACTGTAAGATGTGTTTTCACTAGAGATTGGGAAACGCCACCCATTTTGTAATGGACTGTCAGCAAGAAACATATCAGATAATAAAGGTCTCCCTTACAGCCATTCTTTGGAATTACCTGGATTTCTGCATTAATTACTCAAAAATGTGGTCTGATCTTCAGCTAAGTCACAATAGACTAACACAATCTGCTTAAACTAAGCACACACAATTTTAATTCTTGTCAATATTGTACACATTTTAACATTAACAGTAAGGCTGTAAAAAGTATGTGAACCCTTGTATTAAGTTACTGGTAGAACCTCCTTTAGTAGCAATAACCTCCACCAAACATTTCCTGTAGCTGCTGATGAGACTTGCACAACAGTTAAGAAAAACAAATTGGGACCATTCCTCCTTACAAAACTGTTTCAGTTCATTGATATTTCTGGGATTCTCACATGAACAGCTCTCTTCAGGTTGTGAGACAGCATCTCAATTAGTATGAGGTCTGAACCCAGACTTGGCCATTCCAGAACACTAATTTTCTTCTGTTTAGTCCAGTCTGTTATTGATTTACTCATGTGTTTCTTTGGTTGTTGTCTTGTTGCATCACCCAACTTCTATTAAGCTTCAGGTGACAGACCGCTACCCTGATAGTCCCCTGTAAAATTTGATACAATTTTGAATTCATTGTTCCCTCTATGATAAGAAGCAGTCCAGGCCCTGAGGCAGCAAAGCAGCCCCAAACCATGATGCTCCCTCCACCATGCTTCATGGGTGGGATGAGGTTTTGGTGTTTGTGTGCAGTGCTTCTCCCCCTCCAAACATAGCATTGTACATTTCTACCAAAGAGATCAACTTTTGTCTCATCCATCCACAGAACATTGTCCCAGAAGTGTTGTGAAACATCCAGGTGGTCTTTTGCAGACTTGAGACATGCAGCAATGTTTTTTTTTTGGAGAGCAGTGGTTTCATCCATGGTGTCCTTCCATTAACACCATTCTTGTCCAGTGTTTTGCCTATAGTGGAAACATGTACAGAGACTTTGGCAAGTTCAAGAGATTTCTGCAAGTCTTTTGCTGTAACCCCAGGGTTCTTTTTCACCTCCTTCAGCATTTGTGTCTTGTCATGATCTTTGCAGGACGCCCACTCCTAGGGAGAGTGGCAACAGGACTGAATTTCCTCTATTTGTACACGATTTGTCTTTCTGTGGATTGATGAACACCCAGGCCTTTAGAAATGCTTTTGTAGCATTTTCCAGCTTTCTTCTTTAATTCTAAGGTCCTCTGATATTTCTTTTGATCAGGGCATGGTTCACATAAACAGTTCTTTCATGAGAACCACAGACTGTCAGTAACCAGCCTGTGTGCCTTTTTTTATAGGGCAGGGCCCCCCCACTCCCACCTCCAATCTCATCTCATTGATTGGAACACCTGACTCCAATTAGCTTTTGGAGAAGTCCTTAGCCTAGAGGATCACATACTTTTTCCAACCTAAACTGTGAATGTTTAAATGATGTGTTCAGTACTGACAAGAAGAAGTACAATTGTGTGTTATTAGTTTAAGAAGATTGTGTTTGTCTATTATTGTGACTTAGCTGAAGATCGGACCACATTTTTATGAGTAATTAATGCAGAAATACAGGTAATTCCAAAGTGTTCACAAACCTTTTCTTGCAACTGTATGTCTTTAACTCTGGGAGCTCCTGGAGCTTCACGCAAACACAGGGAAAAGATACAAACTATAGCACCCCCGGAATTAAACCCAAGGCCCCAGCACTGCAAGACAACACTGCTACTCTCTGTGCCTCTGTGCTACCCCATGATCCAACATATTACTTAAAATGTGTGATCTTAAATGATCTTTTAATTGTCACAACCACCTCTTGGGCAGGAAATTCTAAGTGTGAGTGAAAGTTTGTAAGTTTATAAGTTTGTAAGTTAAACTTAGGAAAGAAGTAAGTAGAAGTGATACCTCACAAGAAAGTAATAATAAAATACATTAAAAGGGTAGAAAGACAACTTGAAAATTAAAGAGAAACACCCTCATCTTT